TCATATTTATATATTCATATTTATGAACTGCGCAGGGGTATCAAAGAAAATTAAAGATTTCAAGCGAAGAATTATTCGTTAATTTCTGTATGTGTTTCCTTCAATTCTCTTGAGCTTGGTATGTTTTATCTAAACTCTGGAAGCTGCAAAAAAAAAAAAATAAATAAATAAATAAATTTATTGTATAAAAAGATCGGATTAAATATTGTAATGATTATTGTTTTAACTAAAATTTGAAATAGATTTTAGATGGTAACAACATTTAATTCAATTAAAATCAAAGATACATTTTATTGACCATATGATTAGTAAAGTATAGCATATAAAAATGCAACAAAAAGAATAGCATAAAGCACATACTAAATCCCATTGTTTCGTCATAAGATTATGTTTCAATCATGAATATATCACCGTAAATGGAAGAAAGAGAATGATGTTAGTAGAAAGATAAAATGTTGTTAGTAGATAGATAGCAAAACGGAAATAAAAAAATACTTAGGCCTATGACAAACCGATTGACGAACTAATTAAATGTTGTTAGTAGAAAGATAGCAAAACGGAAATAAAAAAATACTTAGGCCTACGACAAACCGATTGACGAACTAATTATAATATATAGGGCCTAGGCATATTAAATTTTGCATTTTCGCAACTCCTTCGGCGCTCCATATATTTTTCGAAATAAACCGCGACCGAAACGAAGCGCGACCGAAATGATCGGCTACACCGGGAAGAAGAATTGGTGGTGGGGAGGAGAGAAGACTGGTGGGGGAGGGGCGCAAGGAATATTTGGGGAAGTGCGTCCCTCTTCTCTCAACCCTCTAAATACGCCAGTGAATACAGTCAAAACAAAATGTTAAATTAGCATTATTGCTATAATTATTATTTTGGTCTAGGCCTACACCATAGATATATAATAAGCTGCATGGTCTACACATGGTCTACGGTATTATTAAAACAGTTAGTCTCCTTATTGCAGCCTACATTTGCTATAATTGCAAGGTAGTATGCGCATGTCACGGTGGCCGAGTGGTTAAGGCGTTGGACTCGAAATCCTCTCCCCGCACAGGTTCGAATCCTGTCCGTGACGTTCTTTTTTTAATTTAACCTTTTATTAATTGTTATGATCTTTCTAAGTATGATTTCATAGATAGGTCAATTAAAAAAAATCGTTCCTTTTTTAAAAAGAAAAAAGCAAGTAGACATAGACTAGGTATGCCTAGGCTACTACTACTGTCAAGGCCCTAGAGACGTTCTCAGAGTCAGTCACGGTAGAACCATAGAACCAAGGACTTACCTTGGTAGAACTAGTCTAGTAGAATTGCTCTATTGCTCTATTTAAAAATAATTTACATGAATATTGGGAAAATTTCTCCAATGGTTCACCAGATCTAAAAATTCATTATTTGCTTGATGATCTTT